ATCGACTGTCGCGAAGCCGGGTGCCCGATTTTCCTTCAGCCGCAATTGTGATGCCCACACGATCCGCCAGTTCGGCAAGCTGCGACTGTGCCATGGCTGAGGGAGTCAGTGGTCCGCAGACCACGACACTCACCAGACACAACAGTCCGCGCGCAGACCGAATCACCGGCTTCCGCATGTCGCCCCTCAGCATGGAATCGCATCGACAATCGAATCTGACGCCGCCCCGGCGCAGAATTCCGTCTACAGATCGGCCCGCAGAATCGAAGCCCCCCTCCGATTCAGTCGGTCCACGCAGCAGACAGGATCGTCAGCGATCCTCCTCCGCCGGGTGGCTCCCTGCATTAATTCGGCGATTCAGAGTCTGATCCCTCAAACGAATATCCCGATTGCGGCGACTTTTCCGGGACCACTCATCCCATCGTGGTTTCGGCAGTTCGTGCCGGTTTCCGGCGAAGCGGCTGTATCGCGGAGCAGTTACAGGTTCAGAGCGTCGATGGGCGTCTGTGCGGTAACTGTGGAACCGGGTTGGTCTCCGGCGGGAGACATCAGTCTCACATAGACGCTCAGGTCGATGTCTTCCGATATGGTGCGTGTTGAGCCGTCGCAGAAGACCATGTTGACGCTGCTGATGTGATTGGAGCTTGGAAACGGCCGTTCGCCGTCCGGACCCCGCCTTGCTCCATTGATGACTCCATAAGGATGTCGCGGGTCCAGGGGGACGGTGGCGAAGTAACTGGATGCGTTAAAGCCGCGAGTACGCGGATTGATCGGAAACACGAACGTGCAGTTTCGCGGATCCGGATCCCCCCACAGCTGACGGTTGCCGGCGTTGAGATTCTCGGTGACCAGAATCGTGTTCGACAGGCCATCATAGATGTTGCCGGGGCCGTAGCTTCGATTGGAAACCGCAATGGGATTGCGTGTCTGTGACTGACGATCAACGACCGTTCGCCACATGACTCCAGTGCGACGCAGCAGGTTTTTGTCTTCGTCGTCGTTGGTACGGCGATTGACGTTGAGGTCCAGATCCGGGTCGCTCAGACCATGTACGTTGCGGGCTCCCCAGCCTCGATTGAGGTTGCTGAGCGAACCATCGATGTTGGCATAGCCGGCGTTGACCACGTAGCTCAATGCCCCCGGTGTGTCCTGAGCGGACTCGTCGTCCGGACAGGTCAGCACCGGCAGCGTGTACTGACTCATCAGATCCAGATTCGACAGTCCGCTGGATCCGGCATAGGTGGAGTCGTGGCGGCGCTGCTGGTCCCAGCGATCGTAAATGTCCTGGCGATCCAGTTCCGACAGAATATCGACCACCCAGCTCTTCAGAGGGGAACCCGTACGCCCACCGGTTCTCCAGCGACCATTGTTGCGCAGATCATCTCCCCAGGTTCCGTACGCGGGAAATCGCTGCGAAGGATCTTTGGCCGCAAAGGCATGCAGAGCAAGCCCCACCTGACGCATGTTGTTCATGCATTGCGTGCGGCGAGCGGCGTGCCGGGCGTTTTGCACCGCGGGCAACAGCAGTGACATCAGCATCGCGATGATGGACATCACCACCAGCAGTTCGATCAGCGTAAAGCCCGCTCGGCGGGGACGAGGATTCTGCCTGCTACGACGGTGCAGATGGACGTACATGATGTTGCTCCAGTTGGATTCCACATGCCGCGTTGCACATGGGGCCATGAATCTGATGAGCAAACATAGGTGCGGATCAGCAGTACGAAGTGACAATCTGCCGGCATGCCAACAGGGAAGCGACTGCGGGTTGGTCCTGTCCCCTCCCTGACTGTTATTCGGTACACGTCAGCGGGGGCAGATGTGATGGTTGGTCGCGTCCATGCATCAAACAGGCGACGAATGATGTCGCCGTGGATCGCATGTTGCAAAATGGCATCATCAGCGGGCTGATCCGTCGATCGGTGTCTGGGCGGTGACGGTGGTGTTGAGCCTGTCGCCGGCCGGGGAAATCAGTCGAGCATAGACGTTCAGGTCAATGTCTTCCGAAACTGTCCGCGCCGATCCGTCACAGAAGACCATGTTGACGCTGCTGACGTGATGGGAGCTGGGAAACGGTCGCTCACCGTCAGGTCCGCCCCTGGCGCCGTTGATGGTTCCATAGGGATGACGGGGGTCCAGGGGGACTGTCGCGAAGTAGGTGGAAGCGTCGTACTGTGACGTGTCCGGATCGACGGGATACACGAACGCGCAGTTACGCGGATCGGGCGCCGCCCAGAACTGTGCGTTTCCCGCGTTCAGGTTTTCAGAAAGCAGGATGGTGTTGGAGGCGCCATCGTAGATGGTGCCCGGTCCAAAGCTGTGGCTGGAAATCTCAATCGGCGGGACATCTTTTGGGTTGCGATCGAGGACGACTCGCCACATCACGCCGCTGCGACGCGCCAGCTCACCGTCATCAGCATCGTTGAACTGGCCGTTAACATTCAGATCCAGATCAGGAGTACCCCAGTCGTGTGTATTGGTATTTCTCCAGATGCCGGCTCCCCAGCAGCCATCATCGAAACTGAGCGGCCCGTCGATATTGGCATAGCCCGCGTTAACCACGTAGGTCAGACTGCCCGGAGACCGGCGCGCCGACTCGTCGTCCGGACAGGTCAGCACGGGCAGTGTATAGCTGGTCGTCAGATCCTCGTTCGACAGGTCATCCGATCCGTCATGCGGTGAATCATATCGTCGATTGAAGTCCCAGCGATCGTAGATATCCTGGCGATCGAGTTCCGACAGAATATCCACCACCCAGCTCCTTAACGCCGCGCCTCCGTTTCCACCGGTGTGCCATTTGGTCCGGTCGGTGTAGTAGTCTCCCCATGTTCCGTAGGGAGGGAATTTCTGCGACGGATCCTTAGCGGCCCAGGCATGCAGCGCCAGCCCAATCTGGCGCATGTTGTTCATGCACTGAGTGCGGCGGGCCGTTTTGCGGGCATTCTGGATGGCCGGCAGCAGTAGTGCCATCAGAGTGGCGATGATGGACATGACCACGAGGAGTTCGATCAGCGTAAAGCCGGTTCGCATGGAGGGTGGAAGCTGATTCGATCGTTGGCGAGAGTGGCCCTGCATGATGTCTGCTCCGGACAGGAACGACTGGGGGATCACGCGGTGCTTCCTCTGGGGTGCTGCTCCAAAGATAGGACCAGATTCTCGGCCCGCTGGAACGATTTGGCTGAGAACCCGGCGTTGCCGGGCCGCCGGGAGCAGTTGCCACGGCCCTGATCGTTCTGCCATACCGAACTACGTTGCCGAATTTGATGGCTGGTGGAGACCGACATTCAGAACGGCGACAACAAGAGGGATGCGTCATCGATTGCTGCGAAACGGAAACGGTCGTTCGCAGTCCGGACGAAGACTCGTTCTATTGATGACTCCATACGGATGTCGCAGGTCCGGACGGACTCATCCCTGCGTCTCAACAATTCTCAACACAACCACGCCAGGCTGGTTGTTAGATCGCTTCTAGAAACTCTGTCCGTCGACGGGAGTCTGTGCGGTCACGACGGAATGCAGCTGGTCTCCGGAAGGAGACATCAGCCGGACATAAACGCTCACATCAATGTCGTCTGAAATGGTCCGTGTTGATCCGTCGCAGAAGACCATATTGACACTGCCAATATGGTGCGAATTCGGAAACGGTCGTTCCCCGTCCGGACCATACCTGGCTCCGTTGATCGTTCCATACGGATGACTGGGGTCCAGCGGCACACTGGCGAAGTAGCTGGATGCGTCGTGGGTCGAAGTGTCCGGGTCCATCGGAAACACAAAAGCACAGTTTCGCGGGTCGGGGTCTGACCACCAGTGATTTCGCCCGGCATTCACATTCTCGGTCAGCAGAATGGTGTTCGACTGGCCATCGTAGATTCGACCCGGTCCGTAACTGGGGTTGGCAATCGCCTTCGGAGCCTGGATGCCGTTGCGATTGACAACGGCGCGCCACATTACGCCACTGCGGTGGTGCAGATCTGAGTCACCAGCATCATTGAGCTCACCGTTCACGTTCAGATCCAGATCCGGCTGGCTGTTGTCCTGTGGATTCGTGGTGTTGAAGCTGCTGTATCCCCACCCGCTGTTAATGCCCGTAAGGGAACCATCGATATTGGCATACCCGGCATTCACGACGTAGCTCAGTCCTCCGGAGCTGCCAACAGCCGATTGATCGGATGGACACAGCAGCACCTTCAGCGTGTAGTCATTGATCAGTTGCCAGTTCGACAGACTACCTGGGTCGTCATACGACAGCCTGAAGTGGTGTTCGTGATTCCAGCGATCAGAGATGTCCTGACGATCGAGTTCACCGAGAATATCAACAACCCAGTTCCTCAACGGAAATCCACCAGGCCCGCCGGTATGCGGGTTGCCGTCAACCGTCCTGAAGTCTCCCCACGTTCCGTAGGGCGGAAACTGCTGGTTGGGATCCTTGGCAGCAAAGGCATGCAGAGCCAGTCCCACCTGTCGCATATTGTTCAGACACTGGGTACGGCGGGCCGTTCTTCGGGCATTCTGGATGGCTGGCAGCAGCAGGGACATCAGCACCGCAATGATCGACATCACGACCAGTAGTTCGATCAGAGTGAAACCGACCCGACAGCGTCGACTGCGGCGGGCAGAGCGTGGACATAGCAACTTCATGAGACAGTTCCGGAGCTGGCCCGCCGGGAAACCGCGATGACCAAACATAGGAGCCGGTCATGACTGGTCTCCGCGAAACTCCGAAACTGCAGGCATTTCGCTGTGGCTCGTAGCGACTGTGTCGGATCTGATCGCCATGAATGATCGTCAGACTGCCCGGATCCTGACGATCTGTTGTCCGCAGGCGGCAATGTGCCGCCGGGAATCACGGACCACCTAAACGGACCAACACATCCGGGAGTGCCGGCGACTGGCTGCCGTTGGGTCAGGACGTTGCGCTGACGGCACTGCTGGGCAGGCCAGTCCGCCACGGCGGAGCACCCGGCATCCTCACCTCTGTTTTCAACAGAGCAGAATCGTATCTAGAAGCTGTTGCCATCCAGCGGCTGTTGAGCGGTGATAGTACCCTGCTGCCGATCGCCTGCCGGGCTGATCAGGCGGGCGTAGATGTTGATATCCAGGTTATCCGAGACGGTGCGTGTGCTGCCGTCGCAAAAGACCACGTTCACTGCACCTGCGTGATTGGAATTCGGAAACGGTCGTTCCCCTTCCGGGCCACCACGGGCCGCGTTGATCCGACCGTAGGGATGATTGGTGTCGAACGGTGCGGCCGCGTAGTAAGTGGTGGAGTCAAAATCGGTGGTGTCAGCGCTGATTGGGTATACGAATGCACAGTTGCGCGGATCCGGGTCGCCCCACAGCTGACTGTTGCCGGCATTGATGTTCTCAGTGACCAGAATCGTATTGCTCAGACCGTCGTAGATGCTGTTGGGACCATGACTGCGATTCGGTCGCGGCTGGCCAGGCAGTCCGTCACCATTGCGATCCACCACCATCCGCCACATGACTCCGCTGCGGCGATGAATTTTCTGGTCTTCCAGATCGTTGATACTGCCATTGACGTTCAGATCCAGGTCCGGATCGTTGTAGTTATGATAGTTGCTGGATCCCCATCCACTGCCACTGCTGAGCGATCCGTCGATGTTGGCATAACCCACATTGACCACATAACTCAGGCTCCCGGGGGAATCCTGTGCCGTCTGGTCATCCGGACAGACCAGCACTTCCAGGCCATACTGCTGCATGAGCTGCCGATTGGACGTGCCGCTGGATCCGATATAAGTGGAGTCGTGGCGACGCGTGTGATCCCAGCGGTCAAACAGGTCCTGGCGATCCAGCTGTCCGAGCACATCGACAACCCAGCTCCTGAGCTGGGCTCCGTGAGCGGACGGACCGCTGGGCTGCCAGGTGCCGGAACTGTCTCGATAGTCTCCCCAGGTACCATACGGAGGGAATCGATGAGACGGGTCCTGGGCGGAAAATGCATGCAGAGCGATTCCCACCTGGCGCATTCGATTCAGGCACTGGGTCCGTCGAGCCGCGGCGCGGGCGTTGTGGATGGAGGGAAGCAGCAATGACAGCAGGACGGCGATGATTGACATCACGACCAGCAGTTCGATCAGCGTGAATGCGGTTCGCTGAGTCTGCCGGCGGGCTGTAACGAGGATTCTCAATGGGCGACGCTCCTGACGCAGAAGAATCAATCCCAAAGGATCTCTCACTGCGCCGAACGGCCCGGACAGCGGCGTAATACCAGCTCGAATGTCTCGGCTGGCCGTCAAAC